CTATCAGTCAATCAACCAATCAATAGCAATATATACCAAAAGGCGAATCTGAGCTGTTTGTCTTATATACAGATTAAACGTGGACAATCAGTAAAGCATTATTAGTTCACCTGCCTACTTTAATTATGAGCACGAAGTAAGTAGTAATATGTAGGCTTCCAGCTTTTGAGCTTGTGACATTTCACAGTGAAGTTGCTATTGTTCAGTAATTAGTCAGTTAAAAAGAAAAAGGATTGCGGCTTTTTGTTGTAGCGCTGTTCTGCCCCCTACCCATTCTACGCTGTATACTTCATGCAGAAGTAGTTCCAATATAAGGGCTGTTGCAAGTCTTATTTTTAATAAGTATAGTGTAGTGTCTCGTTCGTGAAATTGCGTTGACATTTTAAGCAAGCCAAGGAGTTTCTTACCGCCTTTTAAGGTCTGCCGTTTCATATAATGTAATATGTGTTTCAAGGAATAGAACTGTGCAAACTATCAAAAGACAAGTTCATCGCTAATTCTAGGGGTGAAATCTTGTAATTCGTAAACACTCGTCAATGGCTGAAGAAACTTCTTTGCCAGTGACCATCGCCACTAATTAAGTTTCCTTGTGAGAATCTAGAGTGTTTGGACAAGACACTCGCGTGGTGTACGAAAGCATAGCGAAACATTCAGAGAATCAGCTTTCCAGACTCTTGTATTCCTACACTAAACGGCTGTTCTTACGGACCATTTTACCACTGAAGAGCAACGTGAAGCATCGCATAAGTGTAATCTTTGCGCAACGACGCTCTTTTCGTTGATGTGATGAATGCGGGCATCTATTTTGTCCATGTTAGAGCCCGCACTGGTGAAGGTGTCATCGGGGAAACTCTACATTTCTGATAGCCACTTATTTAATTACTGCGATGCCGATAATATGATCCCCGTGGATTAGCTTTCATGTTTTTATGTGAAATGGAAACGCGGAAACTTTCGGATCGGAAATTTTTGTCAGTTGAACAACACGTAGTTCAGCGGTGGCGCAATACAATATGACAGCGAAGCATTACGTATAACGACTGCCAGACACTACTGCTTGCGAAAAGGGCGCTATGTCACTACGAAGTTGCCCACGAGAAGCAACGTTGGCTGAGGCCATTGTTATATAGAATAGGAACACGGTTGGCATACACTCCTGCATCGTAATTTCAATTCAGGGGTGCTCCCTCCCCACTCTTCACTGATTGCAATGAAGTTGTGGATATTCAGCACTATTTCTGGTTGTCGAAGCATTTTTGCTGTGAAGTAATAGTGATTAATGGACAGTATAAGGAAACGAGGGTTCCCCCATGTTATTTGTGAAGGTATTGCGTTTCCGCCAGCTGTGTGGTTGGTGCTAAAGCAACTGACCGACATATTGTTAATTTTCTCCGAGAGACGGGAGTAAGCGATGCCTGGTGAGCCGAACTACATGGAAGTGGTCTCTCATTACCAGTGATTGTCAGGCAGGTCTAGCAGGCTAACTCCGCCTGTGGCAACATCACCACTACCACCACCACCGCCTCCCACCACCACCACCACTATTTCCAATTCTGGCAAAGTTTTAACAAAATGTGTTTCTAGTCAGATAGTATTGAATTCAACTGTAAGCATGGACGTCGATGAAATACGAATGACTTGAAGCCACGTTCGGGTGATTGTTTGCGAGTGCCCTGACCATTCTTCAAAGTGGTGAATTCAACATCTTCAGAGCTCCACAACAAGAACAAGCACTTACGCAAGTGGTCCTGCTCCTTCGTAATAAAATATTGGCTGGCTTTTTTGAGTAGGATTGCTTAGTTGTTTCTTTGCATATAATCCTAAGAGCCTTCGGGGTGCTCTCAAATTAATACAATAATCTACCATTACATGCCTGGTGGATTTTCAACGTTCCGAAATCAATATACGATTATGGGGTAGGTACGCCGTAGCGGAGGGCTGCGAAAATTCATACCACCCGTGTCTTTTTTCCTGCAGCTGTATTCAAGTACAATGGCCCCGAGCAATTCACCTTCATTAAAACGGGGCTTTTGCGTCCATGATAAGTGGTCGAGCATAATAACAACTAGACCACCATGACAGGTGGCGGAAAGCTTTAACAATAGGCAAAATACAGATCATATTTTTGAGGAAAGAGCAAGAAAACCGCCCGCATCTTCTCACGGGGTGAACACGAGTAATGCGTCAAGAGTAGTGGGACTATCGCGTGAATGCTGCGTAATTGGATCCTGTTTGAGAGTGCTTAATTGTTATTTCGCTTTTATATACTCGTTTATTGAATAAATGGGAAGCGTTGCTTTCAACGAATGGCGTTTGGTTGTGCCCCACTACAGGAAGAAGGTATCTAGCGGCCGTGCTACTGTTGTTTCCATGGCATCTGCTCGAGTCAAGCAAAGCGTCAAATTAAGCGAAAGCCAAGTAAAGACGCCCTTGACCGAATTCCAAAAGCGCGATCATTGCCTACATATACGGGGTGGCCAGTGAACTGTTGTGCATCACGTGCAGTCAATCTTTGCTAGCAGATAATGTCTGCGTCGGCTTTGCAAGGCGAGAAAGGAGGGGAGTGGTAGTTATCACGAGACGCGAGAGTCGAGCATGCGCACTGGGGGTGTAGAGGACACCGCTGATTCTAGCTTTGCGTGTAGGTGCGACCACAGTCCCTTAATACCGTTCTGGTCACGAAACTTCTCCGTCACTCTATGGGAGAGCTTGATATGGTGCCAAGAGTGGCCGCTATGCGGCGCAAGCCGTCCTAGGGGGGCCATCGCCCCGCTGCACCCGGCGGAACGCACTGGCCGCGGCGGCATCCCGAAGGCGTTGTGTGGTGGCAGCTCGCGGTTTCTGCATCAGCGAAACGCGAACTTCATGTGCCAGTGCACCGTGCTCAAGGTGGACGGCATGAAAATTCGAATGAACAATGCCTAAGACGTGCTGTGTGACGGGTTGCAGCTCCGGATACCGAAGCAACAAAGAAAAGGCGTCGCTCTTCTGTTTCCCAAGTAGCGCCGAACTCCGAGAGAAATGGAAGCGAGCTATACCGCGGTTGGAAGCTGGCGGTTTCAGCTTCGAAAGTAAGAACGTTCGGGAGTGCGAAAAGCATTTTGTTGCCAGCGACGTTGTGAGAACCGACGAGCACATCGTGAACGGGGTGGTCGTGTCGCTTCAGCGAGAGAGACCGAGGCTTCGCACGAACGCCGTTCCAAGAATTTTTGACGGGCTCCCGGCATACCTGACAAAGCCACAAACAAAATCGAGGGGCTGTTTGAAAGTACCTAGCAGCCGTCTTCTTGCTCTCCTGAAAATTGTTGAAGAACATGTAGAGACGTACATGGTGCAAAACATTGCATGCGGTGACGTGTACGCGAGGATTGTTGAGGGCATTTTGCTCGACAGCCGCACAGCGTCCGCAAGTGTAGGTTGTCTGGTGCACTTTTAAGGGACAACAGCTGAGGTTGTACACTTTTTTTTTGAGATGTAGATTACATTTCTTCACTCGAGAAAAAAACAAAGCCTCGCGGGCAACTGTGCGGCTAGCACTGGCATCAAAAGGAACTTCCAGATTAGGCTGCTGTACTTCCGTTCCCGGAGAAATCATGGGTTGTCGGCCGGTAAATAATAACGCCCTAAACAGTAAACACGAGGAAACGTCAAGCGGTGGGTGTCCCGTGTAAACTGCGTGGAAAGAAGTGATCAATCAAATGTTGGGCACGTTTAGAGCGGTCGCGAAAGCCCTCGGCATCGAAAGTTCCCGCGTCAAAAAAGCGATCGGCGCTCACAAACGTGTGTCCAACAGAACGGCGCATTTGGGTATAAACTCAATTGAAAGGTCTGGAATAAAACTTCTGGCTCAACCATTCAGTTCATTTGAATACTTGGGTAGTAGCGCGCGAGAGGCGAGCCGGATATAAAACAATGTGATTGCTCCTGTACTACCCAGTCGTGTTTCATTTCGTCCACCTTCCTCCCCCTATTAGCGGCCCTACCAGAATATAAAGCTCACCTACCGCATAAACATAATCGCCCTTTGGCCGGGCGCAAATACAAACATGTTGTCGAGCAGATCAAGCAGTAGCTGCTCGCATCAAGAGCATGGAGCATAAGCATCGTCTTTCAACACTTGCGAGCTATAGCTCGCAAGTACCGCTTCGAGGCATCGTAAGTATGCATATAATTGGGCTATGAGACAATTATTGACACAATGCGTTATCGCGCGGTGTGAGAACACTTTTTTAATGCGCTGCTGTTTATAAGGTGGGCCCGCACTTCCAAGTAAACTACGCGTGCGTTCCAGAGTAAACAGCTCTCATCGGTCGTCGACACTGGATCCCGTTTCAACTTATTTATCTGGTGGCATTGATGCGTTCAGAGACGTTTAAAAAAAGGTAACAGGAAGAACAGCTCGCACACAATCGCGTCGAAACGTCGGCCGCAGTGCGCATACAAGCCCAGCAGTGGCGGTGGCTTGTGGCCCCCATACGACGGGTGGCGCCTCTAGTGACAGATTTTGTCCCTATATCAACCTTCGGGCGGAGTTTCGATACCAGAAAAGCATTGAAGGACTCTGGTGCGACTATAAAATGCTCCGCATTTGAAAATTGCACCGTATTATGAACGGCACATTCACTGCACAGCTTATCGTGCGATCCCTTGCTTCAGGAGCCGTATTCTGTGGATATTATTTGAGGACGACGCTGTCACTTTCGCAAGATCTGACAAAATATGCACCGGAAGTGTCAGCTTCTACCAACGGCAATGTTGCTAGCCATCCCGACTGCCACGTATGGCACAATGCTAATGCGCTCTGAACCACAGATGACTGAATGCTGTAAACATTAGCATAATGAATTTTCGCGTGTGTGACTGTCACCAAAAGTGATTGTCTCGGAATGCCACTAAATTACAGATAATGTCTGCAGAAGGTTGCGCCGCCAGACGCCGAGTATTTACTCTAAGTTTCTACGGTATTCTTATACTTGAAACCACTGACACATCCGTTGCAGATCGATGTCCTTCCCGAGATAGTGGCCGCCGTGGGGGACAAGATGGAGGTGTACCTGGACAGCGGAGTGCGCACAGGGGCCGACGTAGTCAAGGCACTTGCTCTGGGAGCTCGTGCGGTCTTCGTGGGGCGGCCGGTGCTCTGGGGACTCGCATATTACGTGAGCCCACTTTCTTGCTCTTGTACACTCGCATACCGGAGTGTTATGGGAGCGTTATTCATTCTCTGCGATTTCAACAATCACCATTCTCATTAACCAAAGACCAACGTATGACAGTAATCTCCCTCATGCTTTTACCATCAATGTGATCTTGTGTTTGCTGCAGTCAGAGTCACCCCCGTAAAATTCTTATCTGCCCGACTAACTGCCTGCATCTGTTGAGTGTCTTTTCCTGATATCCAGCCTATCAATCTCAATGAATACCACCTGTCTGGCATCCTAGCTACATGTCCAGTTAACGCCCATTGTTTAGGGGCGAAGGTCCTTAAGCTGTGGGTCATTGGTGCCCCGCCGCGGTGGTCTAGTGGCTAAAGTACTCGGCTGCTGACCCGCAGGGCGCGAGATTGTATCCCAGCTGCGGCGGCTGCATTTTCGATGGAGGCGAAAATGCTGTAGGACCGTGTGCTCAGATTTGGGCGCACGGTAAAGAACTCCAGGTGGTCGAAATTTCCGGGGCCCTCGACTACGGCATCTCTCATAATCACATGGTGGTTTTGGGACGTTAAACCACACATATAAATCATCACAATAAAGGTATCGTAACTTCGTGTCTTACACTATTCGTTACTTAGATGCCCTTCCTTTGTTTACAACATCGAATGCTGTTATATCACAAGGGCCACTTTTGGCACGACAGTTGTTCGCCACCACTACTGCCGTAGTCCGTAAGCACTATCACAGAACACAGAAGAAAAAAAAGCGAGATAAGAAAAATATGCAGAATGAAACGAACTTCAAAATGAGCCTTTTAAATAGCAGCCTAGTATTCCACCAAACAGTTATGCCGGTGTTCGAAACTCCTTAGAAAAAGGACGCTCTACAGGCCTAATTTGGCAAATGAGCAGCAGTGCCATATGTACTAATATACTTCACTACCTGAATATATAATATTGAGGTCGTGAAGAAGCCGATCATAGGTTCGTTGGCTTTCTCAGCAACTATTCCAAGTACAGTTTCCAGCTTACATTTTATTGCCTAAAGGCGTGAGCAAAAGTCAAGAGAATCGGGGCAACCATAAAACTTGATCACGCATGAAATCAAGAAGTATTTAATATATGTTATTCTATGATTTATCCTGTTCACATTATCAATCAGCTTATTGGGGAATGCATGCAGTACAACTAAACGCTATGTATGACCTTCATAAATTTACTAAAAAGGTTTTATTCGGAAAAAATACAGTAGTCGTAGAGGCGTCATGGAATCAGTGTGTATAAACTCTGATGATGCAGAAACACATCAAGGGTGTTTCTAGGTTTAGAAAAGATTGTCTATTCAAAAATCTAAATCATGTCCATTTCACACAGATGTAATTATCGTACCTTTCTTCCACAATTGAAACTCCCATCGACATTGTTGCCTCATTCAAGTATTTCGGCATTACTATCACGCATGATTTCAACTGGTCCTCTCACGTGAATAACATCGCAGCATCTTCTTCAAACAAAACTTCAGGATTTCTCGAACGTAACCTTCACATAGTTCCTCTACACGTAGAACTACTCGCATATAAAACATTGGTCAGGCCTAAATTCGAATATGCATAACCTATTTGGAATCCTCATCAGATTTATTTCAGCGATGCCATAGCATCTGTTCTAAATTGCGCCGTAAGGTTCATACATTCATCATTCTCGTATGACATGGGTGTTTCGTCATTAAACGCATATTCTGGTTTGGAGGCAGTGGTACATCGCCATTGCATCGCGAGCTTATCAATATATCATTAATTATATAACAGTTCACTTCACCAAACGCCTTACATTCTACCGTCTATGCGCATTTCACTGCGCACAGGCCATTCTTTTAACGTTGCTCGTCCATGTGTATGTACTGTCACTTGCTCGTCATCATTTTCCCACGCCACATCGCTCCCATCACCACCTCACATGCCTTCATTCAAGGAGTGACAAGATTTATTCATGTACAAACTTTGTAATTTTTCTTGGTATAAGCAACCCTTCTGAAATACCCCTCTGGGATTTTTAAGGTCAATAATTGAAACGGCATTGCTTGCTTCTTCGATCCTGTAGCTTTACCTCTAACGATTGCTGCTTCAGATAAATATGTTTACAATTAAGTTTTTTGCCACGATGTCCATGTTTTGTCGTTCTGAAGCGCCATATATATTCTCAAGCGCAATCTGGAATTGCTCTTCTTCATTCTGTACATGAATAGGTTGGCCTGTTTTATTAAAGTTGGGCATACAATCCTTAGTTCGCACATGAAGGGCTGTCCTCGCCCTTGCTAACCAATGATCACAGAACATTATCTTGTTTCCTACTTTTATGTACGTCCTACACTAAAACGTGATTATATATAGTGTAAACTCCATGTCGGTCTTCTTATCCCAAATCTGAACTTCGAGCAAGAGTCTTATTCTTCTGTTGCTTTTTCCATCTCGAATTTCTCATTAGCAACGACACTGCAGCGGGAAACACCGTAGTGCATGGCATGCTTCACCCCTCCGCAGGTTTCATACAAGTGAAACACTTTACTTCATCCTGTCGTTATACTGTTTGCGCTAATCAAAACTTTCAGTTTTCCCTTTAGACAGTCTGCAATGGGCTGTAGAAAGGGGTCACTTCCAGCTTTTGCTATGAGAGTGGACCGCTTAGAACTAATGTGCAACTTTCTCGGCAGAGAACAGCCCTTAACGATACGGGGCGAGACACCGAAATTTGTAAGGTATGTAAAGAAGACTCGCGGCTTTCGAGCAGCATCACCAACGCCTGCGTCGCTGGGCTCCTGCTTCACATCGCTACTGTTTCGGCCTCTGAACGGTTGTTCCTGCTGCTTCGCGGCTGACAACTATAATGTTCTCAATGATTAGTAACCTCTTCACACTTGGTGGAGGGTGTTGTTTATCCCCGTCGCTACACCCTGCATCATCGAAGTCGGATGCTTCCGCCCGTCATGGCTGACAACTCAAACCCATTGGCGCCTTCGCCCCAGTTCATCACCTGCATTCGGCATCCTCGGGCATGTGACCCGAATGTCTTAGGAGACACAGATAGAACCGACGGGGAAGAGTGACTTGAATACAACGAACTGATGAGCGCTAATAATAAGGGGGATGAACCCCACAAGCCGGGCCATATCATATTTGATCTCAATGGCATTGCTGAATCGGGGCACAACAACTACAAAATCAACATTCTCACATGGAGAGTCTTCAAGACTTCCTGTTCTAATGTGTTTGGGTGCCCGGTTGTTCGCAAGCAGCGCACAGAACAGCGCTTGCCCGTCCGCTCACAGCAGACTCTTGAAAGCTTCACCATCTCTATTGAGGGTGTCGTCGATTTTCGTAGACGTGCCAACGACACTATGCACGAAGCTGAGAAGATTAAACACATCCTGAATGACATCGATGAAGGCGCATTTCAAAGAATCTTCGCTAGAAAATCGAGCAGAGTTTCAGAAGTTGTCAGCTTGTGTCAAAGCTACGACGAGTTGAAAAAGCAACGTACCCTGACTGGGCAGCCTCGGCGGGGTGGCGTGTCGCTGTGCAGTCTCTACATCATGCCTGGTCATTCAACGTTACTTCAGCAAGTGTGAGGCTTCGTCCGTGAGGACATCGCCCAACACCTTTCCCTAATGATATTTACTCACGAGTCCACCACCCGTCTGCCTACCATGCTCCACACTGCTGTTTCGGAAGAGGTTACCTAAGCTGTTCCTGTTGCGCACCACGAGCCGCTTCCATTGAGCCATGATCAATACCCACGTGCTATGCAGCCGCTGGGCGCTCCTGTTGCCCATCCACCAGCCGTGGAACCTGTGGCAGCACCAATGACGTATGCAGAGCAGCCTGTGATCGCTCCCATCGCCTATATGCAAGCCATGCAGCCTGCGGCCTCACCCCTCACATTTGCGGACGCTGTTCGTAGACTTCCGCAACCGCCTTGCACCACGCACTCGCTACCCACACTACTACGTGCTTATAGTGCACCTTGGGTGGCACCAACAATCGCCAATCCTTGCAGGACACCTGATAACCAACTGATTCGCTAGGCTTGCTTCACTCCCGATCCCGCCGCCCGCTATTTCCGCCGTAGACCTCAAACGTTTGGTTATTATGTTCGCGCACCGTAACTTGGAAGCCAACCGTTTGACTAATACGGGCCGGTTTGGTCACCACGCTGCGCTCTACTCACCCCCCTGACGTAGAGTTGCAGAGCGCACCATCTTCTTATCGGCAATCGCATTCCCCTATGTGTCACCGACTCGGCCCCTGCTACCAGAAAAACTAAACGCAACAGTTCCATAGGCAAGAACTGTGCCTTTTTTGAACTCTCCAAGCTCTCACCTTTCTCCTGCTAACGCCGTTGCAGTAACTGTTGAAGCGCATCGCACTTTTGTACTCGTGGACACCGTCGCCGCTGTTTCTGTCATGGTCGCCAGTCTCTGCTGTTATTACGCCATGTATATTGATGCTGCTTTCGGAACTGTTAATTCCTACTGCCAGCGCACAGCATGTGACACCTCTCACAGCCTGCAAAGCAGTGGAAGCTGCGAACGCAATTTTTACATAATCCTTTGTGTCCCTCCGCATGATGTCATCCTCAGGTTGGACAATTTATCCCACCATAATGCTGCCACCGACAGTGCATGCGCTGAAGTTGAGTTTTCACCCTTGTTTAACGTACCATTACTTGACGCTCTTCATCAGCTGCCTAAGTTACTTGTTCTTAAATATACATATATTCCGCCTGGAAATTTTCTACTTGTTCGCGTCGTTTTATGCAACGATTACGCTGACCCTGCAGTATTTTTCACGCCATTCGATGTCTTCACAAGTCGTCAAGCTCTGCCGCTACCTTTCGCAACAATAGACATCACCACCGGAAGCAGCAATATATTCGTCCTTCATTCACTGCCCGAACCTGTCACTTTGCTTGCTGGGGTATGTCTCGGCCGCGTTGAAGATCTCGAGTCTTCGTCTTTAGTTCAGGTCCGCGATGACTACTGTAACCAAAAAAAAATGCCTTGTTCGCAATAAGGGAGCCATCCGGAGATACCTTTTTCAGTGTAATCACCGATACCTTTATTCTGACCGAAATGCCGACCTACATGATCTTTTACGCAAGTTCCCGAAATCTCGCGATGTCTCAGAATCTAAACCGGGCTGGACGTTGCAAACTAGGCACAGACCTGCACGTTGACACAGACCTGCACCAGCCACTGCGTCAAAGACCATATTGTGTCTCCGTCAAAGAGCGTCGCATCATTAACAACCAAGTCGAAGATATGCTTCGTACAGACGTTATTCGACCAACTCACAGTCCCCGGGCGTCTCCTATCACCCTGGTGCAAGAAAGATAGATCTATCTGGTTTCACATAGACTCCCTTCATTTGAAAAAGATAACCGTAAGGTCATCTATCCCTTGCCGCGCATTGTTGACGCTACTGGCAAGTTCCAATCGCCGAAGCAGATCACCAAAAACTGCCTTTATTACACTTGACCGACTATACAAGTGTCACAACATGCCCTTTGGGCTTTGTAACGCACCTGCCACGTTTCACCGACTTATGGATAAAACAATACGTGGCATTAAGTGGACTATGAGCCTCTGTTACCTCGATGCTGTCGTAGTTTTCTTGCATGACGTTTCTACGCAGTTTCTTCCCCTCAGGCGCGTTGTTCTTGTCTGACCAACAATGACCTTAAGCTTAACCTAAAAAAATGCCACTTCGCTGCACGGCACCTCGTAATCCTAGGCCAAATCATGTCGAAACATGGCGTACTGCCTGACCCTGCAATACTTTGTGCAGTTACGGAATTTTCGAAGCCGACGACCACGAAGAAACTTCGCAATTTTGTAGCCTGTGCTCCTATTTCTGGTGCTTTGTTCACAATACTGCATCCATCATGTCACCGTTAGCTCAACTCCTTTGCGATACGTGAACCTCTCCTGGTGCCCTGAATGTGGCGTTACCTTCACTACTCTGCATTGTCTGCTCACCTTCCCACCTTTTCTTAGCCACTTTTGCCTGATGGCTTCTACCGAAGCGCACTCCGGTGCCAGCAGTATTGCTCATCGCACTCTCCTCGCTGAACGAAAGCCCGGCTATTTACAATACGTCGTAATCTACGCTAGCAGCACTCTGACGAAAGCCGAAGCTAAATTTAGCTTGACATAAAAAGATTGTTTGATTCCGGTGTGGGCGCTTGCCAAGTTCCAATCGTTCTTGTATGGCCGCCAGTTTGATCAAGTGACCGATCACCACTCACTTTGTTCACCACGTTGGAAGACCCTTCTGGCTGCCTTGCACGATGGGAACTCCGCATGAATGAGTGCGACATTCGTGTTGTATACCGCTGCGCACGCAAGCACTCTGACGCTGACGCCCTCTCCCACTCACCTTTACCACAAGCTCCTGCGTGTGGTAACACTTGCGTCCAGCCTTTGTCATTTCTCAATCTTGACTCGATTGCCGCCGAAAGACATCGTGACCCATGGATTGCATCTGTTATTCAATACCTTTAAGGCACGCACAAAACTCCGGTATCTCAATTCCTCTGACGTCAAGATATTAATTTCGCCATTCGCGATCAACAGCTTCATCGCCGCATCTGCACTGCCGATGACCGCCGTTGGCTACTGGTCCTTCCACGCACTTTAAGATCGCAACTATGCGCCTCTCTCCACGACAATCCAAGATGTGCCCACTTTACGGTATTCAAAACCTATCGCTATTATTGGTGCTGCATGTACAATTTCGTACGCAAGTTCCTGCAGTGCTGTTTTGACTGGCAGCGGCACATAAGCAACAAATTTGCGTGCGGCTGCCGCATTAGAACCGTTGCATGTCATAACAAGCCATTTGATCGCGTCGGCGTCGACTTCTACGGCTCCCTCTCACTGACAGAGAAGTAATTTGCAACATTCTCGGCTTAAAACGGCGCTTAGTGACAGGGGCGAGACACCAAAATTCGTAAGGGAATATGCGCACTTAGGAGAGGTTTGTATGGTGGAGCTGAACCGTAAGAGTGAAAATAACTAAAATAATAATCATGTTATGAAGCACATTCGGTAAGCATTCTCAAATCACTGATGATGTAGACGAGAAGGTGTCTTTGCCGGTGGAGTGAGCGAAAACAAAGATTTAAAAATCAAGAGAGGTAACAAATGCGTCCAGTGACCAGCAAACGTTCTTTTCGGCGCACCCTAGCCTCGAGCTCCCCGCTCGTGCCCACACTTCGTTGTCCTTTTTCTTGAAAAAAATATTAAACAAATTGTGGTTTACCTTTATCCCTCAATTAAAAAGTAAGCAACAGAAGCAAATTACTGGTCCCTAAATAATAGGTAGAAACGCGCAGGCTTACGAAGAGGCTTCCCCTTAAATCGAGGACGATGCAGTGAGCGATGGAAAACATTGATAAGTGCAACCTTCAGAGACAGAAAGACAGCAGAGTGGGTTGGGGGCAAACCGTGGCTAAAAACGTCATCGTTGAAATCAAGAAGTATTCGACATGCGCTGGTCACGTAGCACGTAAGCAGGGTAACCACTGGTCATTAAGGGCAATTTTACTAGATCCTAAGGGAAGGGGAAGGTGTGCGAGGAAGAAAGAAAATTAGGTGGGCAAGTCAGGTTAGGAAGTTTGCAGATATAACGTGACAGCATAAAGCGCAAGAACGAGTTTATTGGCAGTACATGAGGGAGGCCTTTGTCCTACGGTGGTGTAATGAGGCTGCTGCTGCTGCTGCTGATGATGATAATGATGATGAAGATTATATGCTGCGCGTTTCACGCAGGTCTGGTAATTTTTGGAGGTGTTTTCTCTTCAATAATACCTAGTTCTTTGCAGGGCCAGCAGGGTGTTGAACGCGTGTTGCAAATATTTAGGGAAGAACTGGTGCGCACCATGCAACTCCTCGGTGAGCTGTTTTTGGTTTTTCTCATTCCAGTTACAACCGGCAAATATTTTCCAAAATTGGGCGACTGGAAGCTTCGTGGCATGTTTTAATCTCAGTTTAAATCAACTTCCTACATAATTAATGACATTCAATGGTATCACTGAACTTCAAAATTACCGCTACATCTTGCGCCGGAAATATTGCATCGGCTTTATATATGGATTTCGAATACACATCCGCATGATTACCTTACAAGCACCCACCAAGGAATCGTCATATGATTGACTTGCTTCAATAATCCACCCGGGCAAGCATATTTAGGCCTGTTTTTTCACACATTGAAACAGAGAAACCATTTCAGCCTTATGTAGTTTACTGTAATGACTGAGAAATAATTTTGCTCGTAACATTTGAGACACAGTGGGCCTCGTGACTCCCTGTAAAACCACTGCGTATCGTACTACTTGTACCTTCCATTTTCGCTGTGTTGCGTGTTAGAGCTGTCATTGGTGGGTATGCACATAACATAATGTTTTGTGTATCTCTTCAGCTAGACCGGGGTAAGAAACGGGACGTGCGTCTTGTTAAATTTCCTGTCTTTTCTTTCATGTACCTTATATTCAGTGCCCGCAGTGGCCGAACGAGTGAAGAAGAAATAATATGCATAGCCTATATGGAAATATTTATTGAAGTGATGTTTTCGTGTCCAATCCATCATCATGGTTGCCTTAGCGTTATGTAGTCCGCTCATGGAGCATGCCACTGCCTTCACTTTGCAGCTGTGCAATGACGTCTTCACTTCGACCAATCAGTATTGGCCTTTCTTGATTCTATCATGCTAATCACCACTGCGCCAGCCACTGAGCGATTCGAGCTGTGGTATTGTGTAGAGCGCAGGCAGAACCTCGCTACAGCAAAACGAAGGTGCTAGTAAAGCATCGGTACACCACCTAAGATACAAAATTCTTAGGCGTACAACTACACAGAGCATGCCCTTAGGTAAGGTAAACATCGGTTATATTTGGCGACCATCTAAACAAAGTTTGCGACTTCTCGGGTGTTTTATGCTACGTGGGAGATAACTGTAGATGACGAACACGATGTAGGATCTATGAGAGGCTGCACAAGACACTGTACAGTATGCTGTAGTAATGTTTGTGTCTTTTCTACAAGTCTGCGACCCCGTACGTCCTCTAAATCACCTCTACGACACCCGACCACGTGACTTGTCAAACCCTTTTGAAACCACGTAGAAGCTTCATGTAACGTCTTGGCTCTTACACATAGCTGCCCTTCTGTTTTACTGATGTCCTTCGTCACACATCAGTTTAAGGAGAAAGTGGGAACTATATCGCCCGTACGGGACGTAACACTATTCCGCTTGTTCACTGAACACAACGTATTGTCATATTCATAAGTTGACGGCAGCAGAGAGGTGACGAGGACGGGACAGGGAGCACATACGCATGCGCTTGTGTGTGTGTGAGTGTGCGTGCGTGTGCGTGTGCGTGTGTGTGTGTGTGTGTGTGTGTGTGTGATCTCCCTGTTCAGTCCTCGTCATTTCCAGCTGCGCTTAACACTACAAACACGTTACACCAACAAGGCCAAGAAAGTAACCTCATATTACGTTTCCTTCATTTCTTTTTGCATTCCCATTCTAGGTTGTTCCGACGTCAGGGACCTGTGCGAAGACTTTGTCGACAGAAAGGAAGGAATGAAAAAAATGAGCGGAAGGACAGGGAGGTTAGCCAGTTTTTAGACTGGCTGGCTACTCTGTGCTGAGAAAAGGGGTAAGGGAGATAAAATACGGCAAAAAAGAAGGTAGAACGCGAGAGATAAGAGAGGCCAAAAGTAGCGAAAGAGGAAAAGCAAAATAAAGAGAATGGGACAATAAAGTCTGTCTCTAAGGCCAGTTGTCCGCCAAACACGTAGCCTTCTGGGCTGAGGATGGACTCAGCCATTTACCCAGAATCTCTTGTTTTTACAATGGTTGATTGTCTATAGCTTCGGTAAGTTCTTGTCTTGGTGCATTGAAATGAGTATCGCGAAGAAGATGGGTGATTCTTTCTTCGAAGCTGCAGTAATTCTTCGTAGCAGTGCTCACCATTTTAATTAGAAAAATTGGTCCTTATCTGCATGATACACTGCGAATGTGGTCGAAAGACGATAGTCTTGCGTCTGGAGACAGTGAACAAAACGTTCATTTGATGTTCTGCGCAAGAAATTCGGCTGATGGTATGCTAAAGACGTCGCGTTACAGTTCCTCGAGCATGCAGCGGAGGCGAACGAGCGCATTAAGTCATGTCACACGTGAGAAATGAGCGCTATCAAGCAGTTATCTTGAAAAACGAAGCGCGTGGCATGCGCACCCGTCTCGGAAGTGATAAGGTGTTGAACGCAAGGTGACGGGTAGGTGTTATCACCGTGTCATTTTAGCAAAGCGTTGCGAACACGTGCCTTTTCGTGCAAGCGCTGCATGGTCAGCGCAGCGCGATAAGCGCTGCATGGTCAGCGCAGCGTGATAAGAGCTACTGGTCATAAAATGACTTATGACTGCTTTTTATAGTAAAAGACGCACTTACAGAATATATACTTGTTGTTATGGTGCCTCAGATATGCGCAATAATGGATTATTAATTGACAATTGCACAAGTATGAACGCAGAAACTTTAGCAATATTGGTGGGCGCTGCAAATGGGGTCAGCTGTTTGGAGTATCGTCTTGTGCCTTTTAGGGTACCGTTAAGGGTGTACAAAGAAACAAATGTATAGACAGACAAAAATTTTTGCGTCTAAGGTCCCCAAGAAGACTCGTCTTTAAAAAATACGCGTTTGTGAAGGCCACGCCAAGCCCAACGTGGTTCAGAAGAGTCTCCTCAGCTTGAGATATTCCTGAAGGAAGACGAAGCCTGAGATTGGTATTCAGGTTATGTAGGCGACTGTTTTTGAATTGCGTCGAGTTTCATTGTACCAGTGTGAGGTGATGCGCAAACGAACGAAGCCACGTCGGTTCTTGAGAATGGGATAACATGTATCGGACCACTATGTGCAGGTCTAGCGGCCTCATCTGTGCGGTTGTTGTCATATATACCGCAATGACCTGGTATTTACCGATACGCAATGCTGAAATGTCTCCCGATTGCTTGGTGGTGAAGAAGCCCTATATCGTCTATTACCTGTTCATTAGGTCCATAGCGAAATGGTTATATAAAACACTGAAAAGCTGCGTTCAAGTGCGATAATATGGACGAAGCTTCCGAGCAATATTCAACTATGGACTTTAGAGCTTCACGTATGGCAGCGAGTTCTGCAGCTCTCAATGACGTCAAATGCGATGTCTTGAATTTGACTGTTATGGAATTCGTGGGAATAAGCACCACCCCTGCTGAGCATAATGAAGAAACAGAGTGATCCGCGTAAATCAGAATGCGTCCTTGTGCTTCTAGTGTATGAACAGTAGTGTGACCTGTAGAGGGCAAGATGCGACGACTTTATGTTCTTTTGGATGTCAGTACTGATAAGAAGAGCTTCGGCTGGGTGTTGGCACCACAATGTTAACGGCAGTAATGCTGCACACGTGAAGTGCGAGGCCATTTTAAACATTGCAATTTCCAAAGTGCCATTTCCGAAAATTCCATTTCAAAATGTGCATGTTTTGAGTATATTTCATGACATTTCATCAGTGGTGATCTTCTTCGCATATTCGTTTTTCTTGCGTGGCTTCATACTTTTAACAACGATAGTCTTTCTTGGGGACGTTCAACGCAAAAATTTTGGTCTGTCTGTCTGTACATTTGACTGTTTGTCCACTCTTAACGGTTTTGGGTACTCTATGCTGCACCAACCGTTATCCCAAATGGCCGACCCCATCCATAGCGCCCACCAATGTTGCTCAAGACACAGCATTAATACTTGTGCGATTGTCATATAAAAAGAAATTATGGCGCATATCTGAGGCACCATAACAACACGCATATGTTCTGTATGTGCGCCTTTACTAGAAAATGCATACATAAGTGATTATAAGGACCTTAGCGTTTATCACGCTGCCCTGAGCATGCAACGATTGCACGAAAAGGCGAGTGTTTCCAGCGCTTTGCTAAGACGTTATGGTGGTGGCAGCTACCCGTCGCCTTGCGTTCTACTTCTTACCACATCTGAGACGGGCGCGCACGCCCGTCTCAGAACCACGCACTTCGTTTTCCAAGAAAACTGCCAGATAGCGCTTATGTCTCACGTGTGACGTTACTTGATGTGCTCGTTCGCCTCCGATACACGCTGGAGGCTCTCTAACGCAGTGCCTCCAGAATATCATTCACCATTTTTCTTACGGAGAACATCAAATAAATGTTTTGTTCCTCTCTCCACATGCAAGACTATCGTCTTTCGACGACATTTCTGGATCAACATGCAGATACGGGGCCCATTTTTTACATTTTACACAAGGTTGAACTTTTCGTTTCTTCAAGAAAATGGCAACACTTCCGTGATTCTACACTGATCTTCTTGGTAACGCAACTTCATCGCGACCATGTCGGACATTGATGGGTTCGTTGAACCTCTTATGTCAATGTCTTGCCTCGGGAATCAATTTGCTGCAATACCACTGGCGCCAAGCTCTAAAATCCTCCTCTAAATATACATCTGTTCGCATACAGGGCATAGATATGACTGCTCGCATACTGTCGCTATTAGCTCTTCGTTGTAATCAAATAGGCGTCTCCGTATTGATTTTATAATCGCTTGTTCTGTTGTGTTCATATTTTAACGGGCTGAATGGAAGGAATAGAAAGAAAATGACGCTGCCACACTCTGCAATCTGGGTGCCATGTCGACAGCTAATAAATTCATTGTGTGTGTATATGGTGTAAATATGTTCTCGCAGTAACATCTTTGGTGAAGGTGTAGGTTAACAAATGTAGCAATATGGCGAAAGAATATTCTCTTCGTAACAATATGGCTGCCCGAAAATACATGCTAGAATACTGTAGCCAACCTTGCTAGAATACACTCGGTTTCGAAGCTCCGTATCTCCGCCTGCGGAAGAGGGTGGGCGAACGGCGGTCGCAAGCACTAGCGCCACTGCAGTAAGATTTTGCGCTACTTTCGGCGTATCGTCTTCTACGGCAGCGTGCCGTGGCGGTCGGCCGCGATGTTGCTCGTGGTGGCTTTCTTGTTGTACTGATATTAAACTCAATCTTCCATCGTGCTTCCAATCGACATTCTTATGTGAATTGCTCATGTGACTGCTTATGTCCATACGCACAAGTACGCCTATATAGCTAGCCTGGATGTGTTGCCCATTGCAAGTTGGCTGAGACTCGATTTCCTGCCTATTAATGAGTAATCGGCATTGCGTTCAACCCCAAAGTACGGGACGTTCTAGGTGAATGAGCCTTTTCAGGGTGGTTTTTATGACGACCGCTATCATTTTACACAGAGCCGTCTTGCCTATAGACAAAAAACAACCCAGAACGTCTATATAAGCCCAAAAAAAGTGAACTTACGAGGAAAAAAAACGCTCTAGAGTAAAGCAATTGTGTTTCTACTAGCTACAAAAGGCGTTCTCAAAAAATTAAAAAACAGTACCCATGCTATACATTGTTCACCAGACAAGCCTTTTCGACGGCTATCTATCTAGAGCACAGGGAGAAATGTTACAGCAACTTTACCTTAGTTTTCGCATTTTGGTACCTTTACAGAATGCTCATGTTTGGTTTTCTTTCGAAAAAACAAAAATAAAGGTTCTTGATAAAGGTGGCCAAGTCGATAGGCTATTTCTTGACTTTTCTAAGATTTTCAAAAAAAGTGTCACAGTGAAAACTTTTGTACAAACTTGAACGAAATTGTCTGCCGGCTTATCTCATTAAGTGTACGGCATCATTCTAAAGCAACAGACAACAATTTGTAAATAATAATAGTAGCCATTCTTGGGGGATTTGGCTCAGGTGTGCCGCAGGGCAGTGTATTGGGGTCGATGTTATTTTTACTATATATAAATGACTTAAGGAAGGGCATTTTATCATCAGTGTCAGTAAGGCTGTTTGCAGACGATGGCATTATTTTTAAAGAAATTACATCTACTAGCGACCAATATTTGTTCCAACTAGCAATTGATAACATAAGTTTTTTGTGCCACTCTTGGGATATGCAGCTAAATGTACGAAAAACAGTTTTATTAGGAATCACTAGGAAAAAGGCCCCAATAATATTTGACTACCACTCCAGCAGCATCTCCATTCGAACAGTTGGTAGTTACAAGTACCTTGGAGTCACTTTTGGCTGATAAGTTATTATGGACTAAACATATTACAGAGATATGCTCGTAGGCATTTAAGAAGTTGTGCTTCTTGCGTAGAAGACTCCGTCATGCCCCTGTTACGCTTGTTTGCTATGAACACGTTCGTGTGATTAATATTAGAGTATCGGTCACAAACTTGCGATCCAGTTACGTTGAAAGACACTAGTCAGCTCCAAATGATTCAATGCAAGGCCATTATGTTCATTTTTGTTAAATATAAGGGAAGAGATTCTCCTAGTGCCCTCATGACCAAAAACAAAATGTTCTCGTTACAGTCCAGAAGAAAGTTCCATCGCATAAAGTTTCTACATGACATATTGGCTGGTGGCTTGAATGTCGGTGTCTCATCATACCTTCGTCCTGTTAACACAAGACAAACAAGGCACACTAGACCTCATGCACCGAAACTTATTTTTGCTAAAACTTAAGTCATTTCAAAATAGCCTCTTCCCCAAAACAATAAAGGATTGCAACAGACTTCCAGATTCAGTAATTAAGTCGCCAGACTTCGTCAACACTCTGAAAAAGCACGTTTTGCTAGATAATTTGTTTCTTTAGTGCTGATACTGTTTCATTTCTCTACGTATGAGAGTTAATTTTTTATGCTTCAATTCGTATGTGCACA